CCAGATTGCCCTTAGACTACGTGCAAAAACTCAGAAGCCATTCTTTCTACTTTCCCAGACTGGACTCTGCCCAGCGCTATACCTGAAAATGCCACAGGCCTTTTACCTATCTTTCTTGGGTATCTAGCAAAGCCAGGCATTATTCTTGGCACCTGGGATGGATCCATCAGTGAACAAAGCAAACAACAATCCCAGTTTGCTTGTTATTTCAAAGATTTTTATTTATTTATTCATGAGAGACAGAGACAGAGAGGCAGAGACACAGGCAGAGGGAGAAGCAGGCTCCTCACAGGGAGCCTAATGCGGGACTTGATCCAGGCATCCTGGGATCACACCCTGACCTGATGGCAGGCAGACAGATGCGCAACCGCTGAGCCACCTAGGAGTCCCCACAATCCCTGTTCTCCTGGAACCTCTACTCAAGTGTGACATTTATAGAGTAGCTTATATTAGCTACTCATGTTCAAAGTATTTCATCTCACTTAACTCTCAATAAGGTCAATGGTATTTTATAATTAATTATCTTAATGAGGAGAGGTCAAGTTAACTGCCTAATATCTCCAGCTAGTAAGTGCAGAACCTCCCTGACCCTAAAGCCCACATGCTTTCTATCCCACACTGGATGTACTCTGCTGTTTCCCATGTTAAATCGAGAATCCTGATTCCATTATCTGATCCCATCCTCCCAGTCCAAACTTGTTTCAAGCATTCTACTCCTTTTCATTGTATATTCCCTGGAGAAATACTCCAGTACAGAGCCAAGACCCATTTCAGGACTCCCCTGCCCTTCCCACATTATATCCCTGCCTGAAATGCTTTCCCTCTTTCCAAGTTCCACCCAAAAGGCAAGGCCCACCCTTCCCAAGTTATTTCTCTTAACTTTGATCATACTTGATGGTCTTGTCTCTCCCTAGGAATAGCAAAAGGCAGAACATGTCCTTGGGTTCGTCATAATGATTATATAAAAACACAGCGCATATTCTTAGCTTAGTAATAAAACCTCAATATTGTAGTGATTAAAAATTTCCATGTTTCAGAGATACTGACACAAATGGCAAGCAGTCATTGTGTGCCGCTCCACTTACAGTGTAGAAGTTTGAATCTGACTTGATCGAAAGATAAACTCGGAAAACATTGGTGGCTTTGGGTATTTTGAATAGCAAACCAGGGTATCATCATTATCTTTCCAGGCCAATGGACTAACTACCATTAGTTGTAAATGCACAAAGATCTTTCTTCCACCATGAGTAGGTGCTGAAATCTGGCTCTGTGCACTTGGGCCAACTAGCCTCTCCATGCCTCCATTTCCTTATTATTAAACTGGGATTAAAAACAGCTACTTTTGGGGACGCCTGGGTGGCTCAGCAGTTGAATGTCTGCCTGTGGCTCAGGGCATGATCCTGGAGTCCCAGGATCGAGTCCCACATCAGGCTCCCTGCATGGAGCCTGCTTCTCTCTCTGCCTGTGTCTCTGCCTCTCTCTCTGTGTCTCTCATGAATAAATAAAATCTTTTAAAAAAAAACAAGAGGGGGGAGGGGCAAGATGGCGGAAGAGCAGGGTCCCCGAGTCACCTGTCCCCACCAAATTACCTAGATAACCTTCAAACCATCCTGAAAATCTACGAATTCGGCCTGAGATGTAAAGAGAGACCAGCTGGAACGCTACAGTGAGAAGAGTCCGCGCTTCTATCAAGGTAGGAAGACGGGGAAAAAGAAATAAAGGAACAAAAGGCCTCCGAGGGGGAGGGGCCCCGGAGGAGCCGGGCTGAGGCCGGGGCGAGTGTCCCCAGGACAGGAGAGCCCCGTCCCGGAGGAGCAGGAGCTGCACCAACCTTCCCGGGGGAAAGGGGCCCGCAGGGAGGTGGAGCAGGACCCAGGAGAGCGGGGATGCCCTCGGGCTCCCGGGGACACTAACAGACACCTGCGAGCGCAGGAGAGTGCTCCGAGCTCCCTAAGGGCTGCAGCGCGCACGGCGGGGCCGGAGCAGCTCGGAGGGGCTCGGGCGGCGGCTCCGCGGAGGGGGCTGCGGGGCGGGAGCGCGAATCCAACAGCGCAGGCCCCGGAGCACAGGGCGCCGGGACACAGCCCAGGATCCGGCCTCCCCCGGGACAGGCAGAGGCCGGGAGGGCCCAGGACAGCGAGGACGCTCCTGCCCCGAGCTGAGCAGATCAGCGGCCCCGCCCCGGAGCCTCCAGGCCCTGCGGACGGAGAACCGAGAGCCCCGAGCCCCGTAGTTCCTGCGGAGGCTGAATCCAGGCTTCCAGAGCTGCCATAGCCACTGGGCTGTTCCTCCTGGGGCCCCACGGGGTAAACAACCCCCGCTGAGCCCTGCAGCAGGCAGGGGCAGAGCAGCTCCCCCAAGTGCTAACACCTGAAAATCAGCACAACAGGCCCCTCCCCCAGAAGACCAGCTGGACGGACCAGTGATACTCCCCCGTGTTCCAATACAACTTGTTTTTGGCCACTCTGCACTGAGCAAAATGACTAGAAGGAAAACCTCACTTCAAAAGAAAGAATCAGAAACAGCCCTCTCTCCCACAGAGTTACAAAATCTGGATTACACTTCAATGTCAGAAAGCCAATTCAGAAGCACCATTATACAGCTACTGGTGGCTCTAGAAAAAAGCATTAAGGCCTCACGAGACTTCATGACTGCAGAATTTAGATCCAATCAGGCAGAAATTAAAAATCAATTGAATGAGATGCAATCCAAACTAGAAGTCCTAACGACGAGGGTTAACGAGGTGGAAGAACGAGTGAGTGACATAGAAGACAAGTTAATGGCAAAGAGGGAAACTGAGGAAAAAAGAGACAATCAATTAAGGGACCATGAAGACAGATTAAGGCAAATAAATGACACTCTAAGGAAGAAAAACCTACGTTTAATTGGGGTTCCCGAGGGCGCCGAAAGGGACAGAGGGCCAGAATATGTATTTGAACAAATCCTAGCTGAAAACTTTCCCAATCTGGGAAGGGAAACAGGCATTCAGATCCAGGAAATAGAGAGATCCCCCCCTAAAATCAATAAAAACCGTTCAACACCTCGACATCTAATAGTGAAGCTTGCAAATTCCAAAGATAAAGAGAAGATCCTTAAAGCAGCAAGAGACAAGAAGTCCCTGACTTTCATGGGGAGGAATATTAGGGTAACAGCAGACCTCTCCACAGAGACCTGGCAGGCCAGAAAGGGCTGGCAGGATATATTCAGGGTCCTAAATGAGAAGAACATGCAACCAAGAATACTTTATCCAGCAAGGCTCTCATTCAAAATGGAAGGAGAGATAAAGAGCTTCCAAGACAGGCAGGAACTGAAAGAATATGTGACCTCCAAACCAGCTCTGCAAGAAATTTTAAGGGGGACTCTTAAAACTCCCCTTTAAGAAGAAGTTCAAGTAACTCTGAACGTGAATGGGCTTAATGACCCCATCAAAAGGCGCAGAGTTTCAGACTGGATAAAAAAACAGGACCCATCTATTTGCTGTCTACAAGAGACTCATTTTAGACAGAAGGACACCTACAACCTGAAAATAAAAGGTTGGAGAACCATTTACCATTCAAATGGTTCTCAAAATATACCCTAAAAACTACAGAACACTTCTGAAAGAAATTGAGGAAGACACAAAGAGATGGAAAAATATTCCATGCTCATGGATTGACAGAATTAATATTGTGAAAATGTCAATGTTACCCAGGGCAATTTACACGTATAATGCAATCCCTATCAAAATACCATGGACTTTCTTCAGAGACTTAGAACAAATTATTTTAAGATTTGTGTGGAATCAGAAAAGACCCCAAACAGCCAGGGGAATTTTAAAAAAAGAAAACCATATCTGGGGGCATCACAATGCCAGATTTCAGGTTGTACTACAAAGCTGTGTTCATCAAGACAGTGTGGTACTGGCACAAAAACAGACATATAGATCAATGGAACAGAACAGAGAACCCAGAAGTGGACCCTGAACTTTATGCTCAACTAATATACGATAAAGGAGGAAAGACGATCCACTAGAAGAAAGACAGTCTCTTCAATAAATGGTGCTGGGAAAATTGGACATCCACATGCAGAAGAATGAAACTGGACCACTCTCTTGCACCATACACAAAGATAAACTCAAAATGGATGAAAGATCTAAATGTGAGACAAGATTCCATCAAAATCCCAGAGAAGAACTCAGGCAACACCCTTTTTGAACTTGGCCACAGTAACCGGAGAAGGACAAACAGTGTATGTTCTCATTCATTTGGGGAATATGAATAATAGCGAAAGGGAATATATGGGAAGGGAGAAGAAATGTGTGAGAAATATCAGAAAGGGAGACAGAACATAAAGACTTCTAACTCTGGGAAATGAACTAGGGGTGGTGGAGGGGGAGGAGGGTGGGGGGTGGGGGTGAATGGGTGACGGGCACTGAGGGGTACACTTGACGGGATGAGCACTGGGTGTTATTCTGTATGTTGGTAAATTGAACACCAATAAAAATTAATTTATAAAATAAATAAATAAATAAATAAATAAATAAATAATAAATAAAATAAAACAAAACAAAAACAGCTACTTTCATAGGATATAGGATTACAAATAACGTATATGTAAAGTACCTACATCAGTACTTGATATTGTATCAATAGTATCTATATCTCAGTAAAATATTAGTTAAGATGAAACATTTCAAATGACATTTTGTAATTTTATAATTTAGCTATGTTTCAGGATAAAGGTCTTCTTACTATTATGTACTTAAAAATAAATTAATGACAAGACAATTCTAAAGGAAACCTAAGAATGAGAGCAAATGCCAGGCACATGGACCACTCCACGTATGCAGGGGAATAAACATAACCCAGGAGGATGAGGACTCTTAGGCTCAAGTGCCAAACCACAGCAGCAGTTGCTCTGACTTTAATGGACACGTCCAAGCTCCTTCTGGCATTAACCCTGGGCAAGTCATGTGAATCCACACACTAAAAATCTCAAGTGAGAACTTCAAAGAACACCTGTGTTTTGCAAGCATTTTTTTTAATTTAACAAAAGAGATTAAAACAATCAAATTCAAAGGAACTATGGGACTCAAAAAGTTCCAGTTTTTAAGTTGCAGAATCAACACGTACTGGAAAAAATTCAATGATATTTAAAAATGCAAGATTAATTCTTTCCATTGAGTTCCTTTCCTTGCATTCGCAAATAGAGAGAGTGGCGCACCTGTTTCAGCGACTCTGTAGCCTGTCAATGGGAAAAAGAAGAAACTACATGATCAGAGAGAATGAGAAACAGCATCAATGCACAAGAATTCTATAAATTTAACGTATCTTAGGTTAAACAAACAAATTTCAAGTACTAATGGCAAATATCTATAATATTTTGATGACTAGGGATCCCCTTTGAAAGAAAGAGTTTAAGGTTTCTAATACATCCTTCAAGTTCTTGCTATGTTCACGGTCCCCTTTACTATGGTTTTTCTAGTCCTTATTTGAAAAGAAAAGCACCCTGTGACCCATCAGTCTCCCTTCTTCTTCAATGTTATTACCTTAAAAAAAAAAAAAAAAAACTTCACAGATGCTACTTTAAATCTTAAATGCCTGGGGCTATGAACTAGGTGGAAGAACATCCATCCCTTAGCCTTCTTGGATTAGATCCTTCAAATGTAAAAGTTCCCACTAATTAGAGATAAAAATCATTGTATTTTTCCTAAGTAGTGCTTTTATAGAATGTAAAAGTTGTTAAAGGTTTCATCATCCCCAATTCTTGGATTACACATTTAATTCTAGTAATAACTTGTTCTTCTAATTTGAGGGATGGGAAGTTTAGAAGGTACAGGTAACAAGAGATATTATGAACACTGGCTACTAAATAAGCAGTGCAAGAGATTTTTACCAAAACTTTCTTCTTCTAAAATGACTAAGAAAAATTAAAAATTCACTTAATGTGTTGAGAAGCTACCATTAGCTATCATCTGAACAAAGCTAAAGAGTCCACCGGGGGCCAGCGTAAAAGCTGCCAAAGACACAAATTGTGTCGAGGACCCTCAGAGCACAGGCTCCAGAGTCAGACTGTTGGGTTCGTAGCCTGCTTTCCCCACTTTTTAACACTGTAGATACTTGGGCAAGGAACTAACACCTCTGTTTTCTCACTGGAAAGATGGAAAAGATGAAGGGAGGAATACCATATTGATTCCTTTATTTTTAAGGAGAAGGAACTTACAAATGCCTTTATAAAAGCTTAAAATTTAGGGTATCTGGGTGGCTCAGTCAGTTAAACTGCCTTGGGCTCAGGTCATTATCTGGGGTTCTGGGGTGGAGCCCCACATTGGGCTTCCTGCTCAGCGGGGAACTGCTTCTCCCTCTCCCTCCCCCTTCCCCTGTTCCCGTGTGCACTCTCTCTCAAAGAAATAAATAATCTTTAAAAAGGAAAAAAAAATTCTTTTTGGTATTCACCTTCCTAAAAGTCTAGTTTCTTTTATGTCCTTAAAAAATTGGGCTTGAGAGGTGCCTGGGTGGCTCAGTCAGTTGAGCTTCGAACTCTTGATTTCAGCTCAGGTCATGATCTCAAGGTTGTGAGATCCACCCCCACCCCGACCCCCACGTGGGATTCCACAATGGGTGTGGAGCCCACTTAAGATTCTCTCCCTCTCTCTCCCTCTGCCCCTCCCCCGTTCTAAAAAAAAAAAGTTGAGCTTGATAATTGGATTGTTTTCCTTAAAAGCACACTCAGAGAGTCAATAGAAATAAGACTGCTGCTGAAAACTATTATTTTACTATCTCAAAGTCATTTAAGACATTTTCCCACGCATATTAGAAGATATCCCCAGGTAGAATACAGGTTTCAAAACCAAAACTGTCAAAAAAAAAAAAAAAAACCAAAATTGTCTGATATGAAATTAGCATCACACATGTCACCTGTCTCACTGAGCAAAGCACAGTACATAGAAGTCTATCTAGGACCAAGGACCAAGATTTAACTTGCAGATCTCCCCAATACTAAGTTCTGGCTCCCAAACAAGACCAGTCAGAAGATGTCATAGTTGCAATAAAGTACCTTAGCAAGATCTTCTTTTAACTTGTTGTACTGCACCACATCAAAATGTTGTTTCTTTGATTTTTTATGGAAGAAGTGAAGAAACTGCCTACTCTTAACAGCTGAGTAAGTATAATCCTAAGAGGAAAAAAAAAGAACATATGAACATAATGTCTCTGCAAGAAAGACACTTGCCTTAGCAACACTAAAGCAAAAGAAGGCAGATGAGTAAAATATTTGCAGTGGCCAACAGAGAAAGCATAAGGCAACACAAGTGAAACATTTTGTCTTGCTTGAGATCAGCTGCTGCTTTCAAAAGTAAGCATGCTGGGAAGAGAAATCACACATATTGGGATAGAAAGAAAAAGAAAACTGTTTTAGCAAAATCATCATGCAATAAAGTTAAAGTTACTGAGTGTTTCTGCAATACATATTCAATCATATTTATAAAGGCACAGAACAAAATTTGATGTGTTTATCTCAGTGGAGAAATTTGTGAGCTATATTACTTCAGCTGGAGAAGGAATTATTTGCAAAACATGTTCTAACTTACCATTTTCCTAACAAATGACTCACCTGTCGGGTGATTATAAAGTATGCAAAAAAGACCATGGAATTTGCAACTGTGATGAAGTAGGTCACTGGTTCCATAATATCCCAGGAGTACACCCACCAGGTGAGCCAGGCCAAGGCCCCGCCCTGAACGGACAACAGTGCTAACCCAGCCCACAGAAGTCTGCTCGTTTTAGCTTCTGAGCGAGCTTCGATTCCAGCTTTTATCTGAGGGGGGCGGGAAAGAGCTTGGGTCAGTTTACAGTGTACCAAATTAAGGGGAAATAAAAGAAGGAACAAGTAAAATCATACCTATCGGCATTATTTTAACAAGATCTGATTTAGGGAAAAGTTATGAAACATAAACATTCATGAGTGATCACTTACTTCCAAGTCAGCTCAGAAATGACCCCTTTTTTAAATTGGCCTGCTTTTGGGGAAAAAAATTAAAGAGTACAGAAGGGTATACAATGAAAAACTCAAGATGCTCTCCTCTGAAACCTAAAATTACATGCCTATCTTCTTTGATCTAGCAACTGCACTGCTAGGGATGCATCCTCTAGGTACACTTGCACACACGGTTCATTACAGATTCTCAAGAGTAGAAGACTGACACTTATCAATATTATCTGCTGAGCTACTGAGCAGCAGTAGTGTGGAAACCACACATCAATGTGCAGATCTTTCCAGATACACTGTTAGTGAAAAAAGGTGAGAAGAGTATGTGATAGTGTATGCCCTTTTCTGAAAAAGGGGACAAAATAATATATTTGTACTTGTGTATACACAGATGAAAAAAAATCTAAAAAGATCCATGGGTGTAAGGATATGGTAGGAGGAGGAAAACTTTCCACTGGCACCTTTCCAGATTTTCAAATCTTAATGCAAGTAAATATATTACCCACTTTTTAAAAAATAAAAAATAAATCCAAGAAATATAATTTAAAAGTCCCTTGCTCTGCCATCCCGAATATCCTTAGAGGATACTATCAAAGTTTATTTCCAGAAACTTCCTATTCAGATACAAAGATACACAGATGACACCCATCCATTTTTAAAAATCACAAATGGTATTAGTGGTTTAAAAGATGCAGGTTTTTCCCTTAAAACAGACTCCTCCACGCTCTCCAAAGAAGTTTTTTTTTTCCTCCTCCACTAATGATTAACTTTTGGATGCTAGGAAGCTGGTGCTAACTCTCCAGCTGTACATCTATAAGCAGGGCTGGAGCCACAGGCCTATCCTGTAAAAAAGAACCTGGAAGCACTGCAGCTAGTGTAGCCTGGCTCATATTGTCCTCATTTACAGAGAGGACAGTCTGGAGGGGCAGCACAGCACACAGTTCAAGATGCAGCTCCAGTGGGGCCGCCAGAATTCATGTTCGGGCTCCACCACATTAGTAGCTATGCACCCTTGTGGTCTCTGCTTCCTCACCTGAAGGATGACAAAGATAATAGAGTACCAAATGCACAGGCTCATCGTGAGGACTGAAGGAGAAAATGAGCATATGTGGAGCATTCACAAAAACATTCACTCCACAAGTGGTCAATCCACAGTATTATTTTCACACAGACTCAACTGTGACACTTTCCAACCTGTTCGAGAGGCCTCAGCTGTCCCTTCAGGTGGTCAATTTTCTCCAGTAAGAGGTGCTCTCGTTTTTTCTGAAACTCTTCTAAATGCAAAGCTGTAAACAGTCTGTGAACCAAGGATTTCACATTTTCCATCTGAGTAGCATGTTCCATACTCAGTTTTTCTGAGAAAAGACAGAAAGGACACGTAAGGCGGTCACCACACTTCTACCAGGCTCTCCCAGTTCAGGGACTCCAACCTGTTGCCTATGGCCGGCCACCAGGGCACCCCAAGTCCCAGGGAGGCATTTGGTATTGGCCTTTCTTCCTGTCTCAGGTGATCTGTCTCTCCCATAGAAAGAAAGTCTGGAATGACAAATTACTAGACGATAGGATTAAAACTATTTTTTTGGTCTTTTTTCTTTTATAATATGACTTTGCTATTTCTTTAAAAATCTTCAAATGGAAAAGGTACCCTTCTACCAGAATCCAGGTGCATGCCTCACCTAACACTTTTGGTTTACGGGTTCATTTTTTTGTTGTTGTTTTAAGTTTTTATTTAAATTCTAGTTACTGGGGATCCCTGGGTGGTTCAGCAGTTTGGCACCTGCCTTCAGCCCAAGGCATGATCCTGGAGACCCGGGATCGAGTCCCACGTCGGACTCTCTGTGTGGAGCCTGCTTCTCCCTCTGCCTGTGTCTCTGCCTCTCTCTCTGTGTGTCTCATGAATAAATAAATAAAACCTTTAAAAAAATAAATTCTAGTTACTTAACATATAGTGTAATATTGGTTTCAGGAGGAGAAATGTAGTGATTTATCACTTACATACAACACCCAGTGCTCATCACAAGTGCCCTCCTTATGGCTCATTTTTTATATCCAACCTCAACCTAAGATCCCTACCCCTTTACCCCAGGCATTTATCCAAAAATTATCTTAGGATGCACAGGGTAGGGAAGCTGGTGACAAAAGTGTAAATGAAAGTTTAAAATACATTTGAAAAGCAAGTCAAGTATAAGTTTAACAAGATGTAGATCTGAAAGGAGGTTCATACTGCTAGGAAAGGAAGTCACAGTTTCTGAATGTTTAACAAAGTTCTTTTGCATATGGATTTTCTCTTAATCCTTCTGCCACTCTGGGTCTACAAACACACAAAAACCGGGCTGTAATGCTCCTTTTCTGAGTGCTGTAGCTGTTCCCCAGTGTTGTTAGAGAACTGGAGGTGGGGGACAGGGTGGGACATGGCAGGGCAGATCCGCCCACCTGCAGTGTGCATTTGTATCCACAGCAGGTTTAGGGCCCTGGAGTCAGGACTACCCCAGTGAGCCTCCAGGGAGGATCAGCAGGCCTCGGAGTTATTTCCCTTCCATTCTACCCACTGCCTTCAAAACTTTAGTGTAGTCTTAATCCCTTCTACATTCTAGGCTAAAGCTGCCAGGGAAGTGGTGAGAAGCATAAGTTCTCTTCTAGACTTTTGAGATTTGTACAAGTCAGAGTCCTTTTGTTTTGGTGAAAAATGTACTGCTGTTTAAAAAGTGTACAAAATTAAAAATTAAAAAAAAAAAACAAAAGGTCTATATATAGAAGAAAGGAATAGCTGGGGCATGATTTCGTCCCAAGCTGTGTAGTGTATCCAAGACAAAGCCAGACACTTAAGTGATAAGGACCGATTTTATCCAGCCAGCACTGTGATATGGAAGAGGGTCCAGTGTGAACTGAGCTCAACTTGTATTTGTGCAGAGGCGGCTGGGCGCTCTGGGGACAGAGGAGAGGATCGGGGGTGGGGGGTGGGGGCCTCAGTGGAGTCGGAGAAGTGGAAATCTACAGCTGGGCCTGAGGATTCTCGGTGAAGGTTAGGGCAACTTGGCCATTTGGGTTGGTAACTGGCACTTAAGCAGAAGAGAAACAAACAAAAGGCAGTGTGGAAGTCGAGCAAGGCGGCCACCCAGCTGGGAGAAGAGCAAGCGTCAGCTCCCTGGACATTTGTGTTTCATTTTTTTTTAATAAATTAATTTTTATTGGTGTTCAATTTACCAACATACAGAACACCCAGTGCTCATCCCGTCAAGTGTCCCCCTCAGTGCCCGTCACCCATTCACCTCCACCCCCCCGCCCTCCTCCCCTTTCACCACCCCTAGTTCGTTTCCCAGAGTTAGGAGTCTTTATGTTCTGTGTTTGTGTTTCAAAGAGTAGTTTTCTCAGGTCCTTGAGATGACAGTTCTGGGAGGCAGAAGCTGTATACTTCAAAGGCATGGAGAAAGAATTTAGAATTGCAAGTTTTCTGAAGAAACTGCTAGAAGAAAACGTTCAGGGACCTGTCTGCCTATCACCAGGTTTTCCCTGAATGCACAAGAAGTTCTCCTGGCAGTGTCGCACTTCCCCAGGCAAGCATAATCCTGGGGATATGCCCTTATGCTGACAGAAACTATGTTGGGGTTTGTTCAAGTCTCTTGGGGGGTGGGGGTGGTAGGCAGGGACTGGAGGTGAACAAAATCATCTGTGTGGAGAATCTGCCATCTTTATGGGTCCAGACTGAGGTCTTGTCAAGAAGAAGGCTCGGAGGCACCTGGCTAATGTTTGGTCAAAGAGAGAGTCTTTGTTGGGTTACATGCAATGTTGATCTGAGCTCAGTGACAAGCTATGGTCTTTCAGAAATGGCACCGCAAAATTCATATGTTGTATTACCAATTTAAACATTTCCCTAAATAAGAAACAAACGAGCATTTGTCTGTGGTATCTCCTAACAAAAACCAAAAACGAGAGACAATTACTCTTTTCTTTTTCTTCAGAAGCTTATTCCTTTTATATGTGTCTTTAATACAGATTTCATTTTTATATACTGAATTTCTTTTTGTTGTTTTTTTTCATAGACTAAATTTCAAATCCAAATTTGCCAATGCTTTAGAGAAGAAATGGGGTTTAAATACATTTTTTAACTTCAAATTTACAATTTTATAAACTGAATTTTCTATTAATCCTGTATAATTCCTCTGTCATCTTCCTGCCAACCATACCTACTGTGCCCATTATTTTAATTCCCATTGTGAGACTGAGTCAGTCGGGTTTGGTGTTCAGTGAGGCACCTGGTGAGCCAGCACCATCCCAGCAACTGCCCCTCCGGGCAGGGAGGCAGCTCTCCTCCCAAGGAGATGGCAGGAAGGAGGTTGTAATTAGTCCACCTGGACCTAAAGGTGTATGTAACATGTTGGGGCCTGCAGGAGAGGAAGGACAAGTAGAACAAAAAGATGCCCTAAAATCATCGGTTTCCACTTGTATCCTCAAGTACTCAACCCAGAAGAGACCAGGAAACAGAAGACTTTCCAGAATGTTGGGTGATGTAGTTTTGGAATATAGGTGAGGTTTGGTGGGGTGAGATCTGGAGCCAATGACCAAGAAAGAATTCTTGAGATGTCTTTGGTGCAAAATGGTGGTTTTATTAAAGCCTGGGGGCAGGACCCATGGGCAGGAAGAGCTGCTGCCCAGGGCTTGTGGGGGTGGCTGATTATATACTTGGGAGTTGGAGGTAAGGAAAAGAAAGGAGGTTTCAAAAGGATTTTCACATGCTCAAGAGAACCTAAAAGATATTGGAGGCCTGCCATTATCAGTTAAAGATGGTTTTTCCCTCTAGTAAGGCATTAAGATAGTTGGGAGCTTCCTGGAGGAATGTCACACATATCCCACCCAGAAGTTGGGGGAGGAGGTTTGCAGGGTGTGAGGTTGTGCTTTGTTCTCAGCTAGCCTTCTGTTCCCCATCATCAGGAATTCACCAGACACAAAATTTCTATCTTAACATGGGTTTTCATCTCTGTATTTATGAACTTCTAGCATCCTTCTCTCTTTGGGGTTTAATACTGCCCTGATTTTAAGAATTAACAGGGACGCCTGGGTGGCTCAGTGATTGAGCGCCTACCTTCAGCCCAGGGTGTGATCCTGGAGTCCCAGGATTGAGTCCCACATCAGGTTCCCTTCATGGAGCCTGCTTCTCCCTCTGCCTATGTCTCTGCCTCTCTCTTTGTCTGTGTCTCTCATGAATAAATAAAGTCTTTAAAAAAAGAAAAAAGAATTAACAGAAGAAAGTTCACAATTGTTGAAATGATGGATTCATTTTAATTTCTCTATACTTGTGTTTGAAAATAACAAAATTTTCAAACATACAATTAAAATTTTTAAAAATCTATTTTTCTTCAAGGGATCTTCAGAGAAATGGCTGACATCAATGCTGGGGTATAAGATCAGCCTGGATCATCTAATTATACCAGAAAGAAAAAGCCTGAAATCAAAATGAGGGCAAGTCACAAGACATGGGCGCCAGAGTGTTCAAATTGTACCAGTTAATTAGTGGGAGCCCCTGAAGTGCCTTATGATTTGCTCCCATTTCTCTCCGTTACAACGTTTATTCTTTTTTAATCTAAATCCCCTCCCCTTTTCCCTGGCATCTATTGATAATTCTTGGCTGATGCAGAATTTGGAGGAATCTGGTTGCAATATGACAACTTTTCGATTCCAGCAGCCCTCCCATTTGCCAGTCAGCACTTGGCATTCTAACTATAAACAAGAGCGTTCCCTTATTTATTGATCTATTTAGTCATCTATTTTTTCAGGCACAGGCTTATGAATTCCTTTTTGCTGTCCCCAGCAGTCTACGGTCACAACTTACTGGGAACAGAAGCCTCCAGAGCTAATACTGGCAGGCACTTCAGCATAACTGGTGAATTGCTGGAGGCTCAGTGCTGACCAGTTTGAGAAATAAAAACCTCACAGACATTCACTAGTTTTATCTCCAGGAGCCCCACAGGGTTCTCACAGTGAGGATCAGAGATCCACATAATCTGGTGCTTGGCGCAGGGAGAGGGGAAAAGTAACCATTCTGGATCAGCCCCCAAGCAACTTTCTCCTAGCAAGGAAACTACTTTACCAGAGCCTTATCTGGCTGGAAGAAGGGCAATTAGCTACTCCCAGCCCCCTCTAGCCCTCCCGGCTCACAAAGGAAGGGAAAAATAAAGTGGCTAAGAAACTCTACTGAAAGCTGCAGCCCAGGAATTCTGGCCCAATAAAATATCCGAGATTCAGTCATAAGTTTATACAATGCTCCTCCCCCCACCCCCAAGACCCTACCATCACACCAACAGGGCTGCAGTTCTGTGCAAGACGCAGACCCTAAGAAAGAATTTCTAGGGAAACTCAG